TGTTATGTTTTTAAATGTAAGAACGACTTACGATAATAAATATTAGTTTTGTTAATTACAAAATTCGAGTAACTAATAAATTTACGTAGCACACGTAGATACATGGAAACTTTAATTTGATTTATTTTTAATAATTCAACCATTTTAATTTTTTAATTCTTTTTATTTTCTAGTTTAAATAGAATATAATTAAGTAAAAACCAAAAATATTAAACTTAACAAATAAACAATTGATAAGCATATAAAAAAAACTCAAACAAAAAATATTGCGCTTAATATCAACTATAAACTACGTGCAACGATCCACACAGATTGTTTTGTTCGGAATAATCTCTGTCTCGCTGTGCGAATTCTTTGAATATGATGAGCGAACAATGTATATATCTAAAAGGAAGCAGTTCTACTTTGAAGCCATGCCATTTTACGCATGATCGAAATTGCATCTCCGATAAGAAAACGATAAGCAGTCCCTTCCTCGAAATCGATGAGCTTGATCGATTCTTATCTCATCGTTCTGCTCGACACATTGCGTAAGAATAAATACATATTTTCCATTTATTTACGTTTTTTCTCCATTTCCAGTAGCGATCGATCATACATCGATTAGGAAATACAGTTAAATATGCTGCAGCGGCAACTCTCAAATTTAATCAGCTGATCAAGTAATCAGCGTTAATTGTAGTAAACCGGCCCTAAATCTTTTTCATAACTTTACCTGAAATGTGCATCTCAGATATTGAATTCTCCAAGAATGAACTGCTGATTAACTAGATCTCGCAATTTTTTTCTATGTTATATAACGAGTGATATATATAAGAATGATATTGAAATTGTACGATAATGATTTATTATTGTATATTCTCAAATATCAATATCTACATTGCAGTTAGTTGACTCGATATGGTTTTCAGAAAAAAAGAAAAATACTGAAATAAAAATATATATTTTTTTTAATTGAAAGCTGATGAAATTTTAATTGTAGATATTTATTTATGATATCATTAAATATTTAAAGATAAAGATGTGATACAATTTAATTAAATTATGAATTTATTTAAGCATTTTGTTGCAATTGTTATGTTTTAAAGATAAAGAATCAATCACGATATAACTCACAAAAACAAAATAATAAAATTAACTCATTAACAGTTAGGTATTAATTTTGTGAACAAAATTGTGAACTAAATATAAATTCATGTTCCCCATTTCTTTTTATCATCAAAATAATTTTATAAAAAAATAATTTTGATGATAAAAAGAAATGCGGAATGTGATTTTTTTATAAACACAAGATTGATAAAAATTATTATTTAAAAATTAACAATTCTTCTAAGTAAGTCGGTAATAAACAAAAAAAAATATATATATAACTTAACATTTTTTATTTATCATTATTTTATTTACCGTTTGATGATAATTTAATTACGTTCGAGATCTTGTTATAGAGTGCGTTACTTAACAGCCAGTCACTAGATTTCTAAAGTACCGCAAACTTGCCTCCATCTTGATACAAAACGCGATCATTTTCAAACCTATGTATTTGTATAAACGTAATTTATTTGGGAAAATAAAGTCGTAAAATATGTAAATCAATTTTTTAATTGTAAATAATTTATTTATGAACCAAAAGAAATAGGAATGCTTAATTTATGTATCTTTTAATCTAACATAGGTTTTTTCCATTTTGTGAATTCTGCATATGGTATAGTTTCGCCATTTTAATGCAATCGAACTCAAAAGTCTATTGCGGTACTTTAGAAATGTAATGACTTTAGCCAATCATAATGTCCCTCTCTCAGCAATCGTCTCTCTCTCTCTCTCTCTCTCTCTCTCTCTTTCTCGACCTTTTTGGAGCACCAATCAGCGCACTAACATCTATTTTTACGATATGAGAACTAATATCCGTATCACCGACGAGATACTATTAAAAATCATCTTGGACAATTTTTCGGCAATATAAAAAAGGTCCCAAGGGTAATATCCGGAGGTAATTGAAGAACACTGACATTATCGACAATTGATACAAATTTGCTATTATAAATATTTGGCTATATTAAATTCATGATTTTTTATTACATAAATGTTCCATAAATAAATATGTATACTTGTAAAGCTATAATATTCTATATTGCAGAAAAATTACAATTTTTTCTCTGCAATTATCATCTCTGTTGATAATCAAACTTTGACGATAAGTCACTAGATGGTGTTGATGGTCAACATCTAGTGACAAAAAACCGCGGATACTTTTTAGATGACCCAATATTTTGCGAAACTGTCGATAAAATCGTAATGTCGAAAATGGAAAATGGAGAAATAGTGTCGTATGATTGTGTGTTTATGCAGAGAGAAACCTGAGAGAAAACACGAGGACCTTTTTCTTACAACCTGTAACTGCAAAATGCTCCCGTGCACTATTGCCTTAGCATAAGAACTATGAATACCGCCATTAAAATATGAATCGACTATGAATATCGACCTTAATGCCTATTGCACAGTGGATGCGATGAGAGAGACGAGCGATATCCAATGAGAACTCTGCTTTGCATCGTCATGTGTAAAAAAAAAGTACAGCTTTTTATCCACATTTGTGAATGTAGCCGAACTCGCGTTCAACACCGATTTTCGATTTAAATGACGAGACTCGTATTATATATATTCAATTTTTCGACGCTACGACTTTATCAGCAGTGTCGATAATGTGATACGTAGTTCGCATCATTCTATTAAATTAATGCTGATGTCTCTAATGTATGAAAATTTCCAAGCGTCACACGAATAAGACCGAGGGCCATCTCGATCAATTCCGATTAACTTTAATCGATGATCAATCTAATGAGTGTAGTCAACCAACAGTAAAACTACTTTTGTCTTGTTATCCTTAACCTAATCTATGTGATATATTTGTTTATATGCATCTTGTATGTAATATTGTACGCGTACTGTGATAACAAATATTTTCCTCAAAAACATGCAAAAGAGAAAAAGGTATTTCACGAAGGAATTAGATTAAAAATAACTTTACAATTAAAGTTTTGCTATTGGCTACACTGCTTAGGTTAATCATCGATTAAAGTAAATCAGAGTTGGCCCCGAGATGGCCGCTTTCAGATTTCTCTCTGGTTCAGTCTGGTTGAGGATCTTTTTCCTGTAACCGCTGTAATGTGCTGTATTATCTCAAAAGGCTCGCGCACTGCTGCCCTCTGAAGAAGTGGATGTAAACTACACAACAATATCCATTTTTTTGCGGTGCTCGTGCAATACGGGGAGAAGGTTTCTCTCTATGCAATATATATGTAATACGTGTCACCGCCGGTGCTTGTCACGCGTGTATACGTGAAAAATTTTCAAATATTTCGCTCTTATAATATTTTGTGTCAAGATTGATAAATATGACGGCGTTGACAGTGTTATACAAATTTTGGTCAGAATACACAAAAAATACACCCAAGAAACTGAAAATTATTGATGCGTACTTACTGTACATATTTCTGACGGGTGTTACCCAGTTCGTGTATTGTTGCCTCGTCGGCACTTTTCCCTTCAATAGTTTTCTCAGTGGTTTCATATCCTGTGTATCCTGCTTCATTCTAGGAGGTAATTATGTCTTTACTCGTTATACGTTTTTCTTTCCGCACAATTCTTTGATTACATCATCTAACGTGCATATGCAAATACAATTTACAAATACAGATGTGTATGTACTTTAGCTATGTTTCAAAATTTACTACCAGTACTAAAAATTTATAATTTATGTTATGTGCATTGTAGATTTTCAATATCATAAATTTTTATATGTAAGCCTTGAATTTTTTTGTCCTGTCTTTTTTTCACATTATTGATACGAATTTCCATATATCATTCTAGTATTTTGTCTTATGTTCGAAGATTACATTAAAGCTATTATCTTTTTTCACTCATTTGCACGGGTAATTGATGATTTTATGTTATTTTTCTTTTTCAGTTTGTCTCCGATTGCAAGTTAATCCACAAAATAGAAGTCAATTTCATGGTATAAGCCCAGAAAGGGGATTTGCAGACTTCATTTTTGCACATATTATTTTACATATTGTTATAATGAATTTCATTGGATAAGATGTCCAGCTATAGTATATATATACATATATAATAGAGCAACAGCATCATTTTCAAAAATAAATTGGGTTTAATATATAAGTATATAACATGTTTTTCTACTGCTACTCTTTGATTTTCATTTAAATATCTTGTAATTGATTAATAAAATTATGAAAATAATATAATTATAATAACTTTAAACAATTCATTCAGCACATAATTCCTTTTCTACGTGATTTTACATTCCAAATATTAAATAAAAAAAATTTATATCAGCCAAATTGGAGGTGACCCAATGAATAGTGTTACTGGTAAGTAACAATAATCTAACAATAAGTTGTTAATTTTCCATTTATCAAATTAAATGACGCATAAATTTTAAACCTCTTCTTTTACCATGTATAAAAAGTAAAGATAGAATTATTTAGTGTTCAAAAATACTTCACACAACATGAAATTACTGGATAATATTTATATCGATATAAAATTATCTATACAAATGTTGCTACATTATGTAACATAAATTGTAAGAACATTTACATAGTTGCGTAAAATAAGTAAGCAATATAACTACAACAATCTATAATGCATTTTATTTGTCTTACTATTACTAGTTGTACAATGTCAAGTGTAGAATAGATATTACATTGATATAGAATAGAAGAGACTTAGGACACCCCATGCTCATATTTATAAAGATCCTAAGAAAAATTTCGTACTGTATTATAAAGTTACAGTTTCGAGAAATTCAGGAAAGCGTTATTAGACTATCCTTTAATTCGCCAAACTCTAGCAAGATATTATATATTTCTCAAAACAATATAATTTAATAAAGCTCTTTTATTTATATGAAAATATTCATATATTTTCATACATATATTTTATTTACACATAGAGACAATTAACAAGAATAATAAAGTTTTTAATTTCTTGAGAAATTTAATGCAGATTATCTGCCTATGAAACGTAATAACTTAAATGTTTTGAAAATAAAACTATTACTAACACTATTATTAATGATAGCTACAATGGAAACAGTGAATTTTATATATGCCATGTACAGAAAGTTGACTTAAATATATATAAATTGCCTTATGTTTCATTACTTATTATCTATTTATATGCAACTTAGAGATCCATAAAATATATATAAATGGTTCGATGTAAATAAAGCTACTTACAAAGTTTTTAATACAACGATGCATCATTTCTAAAATAAGTTTTTCTCTTCTCTTGGATGCAGACACATTTCCACAATTCTATCTCTTAATAAATAATTATAATACAGGCTGTCCCATGATATAAGTTCTAATAACAGATATATATTTATATCTTGTATATATTTGTCAATATTTCCTGATAAATTTGAAATAAATGTTTTATAACATCGAGGTGTATCTCTCTAAATATCTGAATTACGAATCATGATGAAGAAATGTTTTATAAACTACGATTTACTTTACAGGACAAATAAATACGCAATTATGTTCTCCAATTAATTTCCGAATAGATTCTAATAGAATTTCGATTTAAAATTTCGTATATATTACAAAGATATACAACTTAAAAAATTAAAGGAAAAAAATTCGATTCGAAATCAAAGAACCTGTTATTATATTTACAGTTACGAGTTGTGGCACATCCTGGATATTTTATATCTTACTAATATATATGGAAGTATAAAAAGTGTACTCTTATGCATTTTGAACATAAGAAAAGCGACATCCAGAAGTTGTCATGTTGCCGTGGTTATTTAAAGTTGGCGCTATGTCATTATGTTGAGTTCTTTCGTTTGGAAATAAAAAAAAATGTAAATTTCTGCATCCTTTTTTTTCAGAAACTATTTATATACGTTTTTACTTGACACACGTATTCATATCCGCAATATGTACTTCAAAGTTATTGCGATGTACAATAAATATTTAAAATGATCGCATTTGGTTATGCGCAGAACGATACGAAATTCGTCTCGAAAACGAGCACATCTTTTATATTTCCACCATGCTAATATATGTATACGGATACATATGTTTTTTCTAATGTATATTATTTATGTGTGAATATAGGTGAATATATTTGTCAAATTTCATCATAATCATCAAACCAGGAAAAAACTGAAAAACTGCGAATCTTATTATTAAATTTATACAAGTTAAATATGCAGATTGTTATGAAAATAAATAGTGAATCATAAAATATAAAATATATATTAGTATATATTCAATAGTATATATTAAAATAAAATATTAAAATTTACTTATCATTAAAGGCTCGGAAGTTTGTAAAGTCTTACAATAAACTGCCCCTCATTACGATGCAAGCACAAAGTCTACGACAATAGATTTTATTTATATTTAAGCATTTATATATGCAATTATATATTGTTTTTAGGGATATACGTATAACGCCATTATTTTTTATTGCTACTTTATTATAATAACGTTGCGAATTTTTTATGGCGATAACGGTAACACCAGATTGAAAAAATCAGTAGTAAATTGTCATCTAAATCAAGTACATTAAAAAACAATTTCCCATCAAAACTTGTAAACTTCCGAACCCTTGCTCATTACATACGAAATTAAATTATATACAAGATTTACAATCGGTTATTCTATAATAATTTTGTGCAAATTATAATTATCAAGTCAAATGTAACAACTAATATAAATTATAAAACAAACGTACGTGACATCATGTGAAAAAATCTGTATTGCTTGAAATATTTGACAAATTAAAAAGTTTCTTTTTTTTAAATAAATTTTTAGTAGATAATGATGAAAAGATCACATATCTCAACTTGTTTACAGGCACGAACATAACATGATTGATTTTATCTCTTCGAATAAAAAATTTTACATTTTATATTCTTTATTCTGAATTAATCACCGATCATTGCGTGCATATTACTAGTCATTAAATAAATTTTTTATGCAAAGGATAACGTTATTTTTTTATGCAAACGTGTCTACAATAAAGAGTGTCCTTGTATAAGTGACCCCTTTTTATCTTGTAAATTAATAGAGATAGAGCTAATAAATATAATAAACGATCAAATTAAACGATTCTATCTAAACTCCATTGCAAACATAGTAATCACTCAGAAAAATTATCCACCATCTTAGAGATCAGAGGGATAGATCATTTTTATATGTAAAGTAAATAATACGATATAATAAAGTAGCGTTTATTCTAACGAGCATAACGATGTATGTACGATATAACAAAATTATTTTATAAATTATGTAAGTTATTTTGATTTAAAATGTTACGGACAACTAATATCTTTTCAATTTCAGCCCTGCAATATGGCTAACTTTCTTGCATTGACAATGACGTGTTGTCATTTAATCAATACGAGAGTCGGAAGTTGGATACACCACAGGGCCAAAATTGAAAAGGTATTATAGTTGCTCGCAAAACATTAAACCAAAATAACTCATATAATTTGTAAAATAATTTTGTTATCATACATCGTTGTACTCAGTAAATGAAAATGGATTAAAATAGATTAAAATTTTTTTTAATGCATACTTTAAATCCATGAAAATGAATTGAATTGATTGAAATGGATTCGAGCTGACTAATTTAATATTCGAAAAAAAAACATTCATATTTAAGGGTTACAAATTTTATTCCTAAGATATTTATAATAATTATACCTGAAATTAACTACTTCAAATTGGTATTAAACAACGCACCTTAGGTGGGATTCGAATCTAGGACCTCTTGGGGAGATTATGAATCTTACGTTACCCGTTACACCATTTTTTCAATTGGTAAATGAAAGCAGCTTTGCAGCTGTTATAATAAAATTCTTGAATATGATTGATTTTGCTCTTAGTTCTTCACTGAATCTAAATGTAACCAATCATATTGAAGAATTTTGTAACAATAGTTGTAAAGCTGCTTTTTTTGCTAAACGTAGCCTTTGGATAAGTGTCGAATAATCTAATCTTGCTTGGCCGATGTCGCGCGCCGTGATCAGCGTAATATTCGGATTGTATTCGACTTGATTTACGTGTGTTCACATTGAGCATTCATTTTACTTCTAATCAAAAGGAAACAAAAGAACATAGCTCAATTATTTTTATGTAACTTTTTTGAACTTGGATTAAAAATTTCCTATTTATAATTTTGAATAATTTAAGTAGCATTTATGGAAAAGTTTAATTTTTAAAGAAAAATTTTTTTTTATTCAATTAGATTAAAAAACTGCATTTCCTATTCACAATTTTGGATTGAGTAGCATGCACACAAAATACTATAATATTATTTTTAGATTGAAAGACATAGAGATATGCTTTATGCAATTGTTGTAAAAATACATTCAGGATTGAAAAGGATTCATTTTAACATTCATGAATCCCTATTTTTGAAAATCTGAATTCATTTTAATCCATTTCAATTCATTCTCGTTTACTGGATATTCATCAGAACGAGCGTGACACTTTTATTATATTGTAGTTTAGTTAGAATCGTTTAATTTGATATTATATTTATTAGGTCTATTTCTGTTAGTTTACGAGACAAAAAGGAGTGGCCATTTTATACAGCACCCTATATATATTGTATACTGTGGGAAATTTGATTACTCGGGCATAATGCCCAAATTAACTCTTACCGTACAAGGAATTTAGTGCTTCATCCATACAAACGGGGGTCACTAGATCCATCCGTTTTTTTCATGTCGTTCATTTTCCTATTCAGAGGCATGTTCGAATTTCCACCTGAGTGCTCTCTGGATGTCACATCATCCTTGTTGTGTACCGAACACGCCTCTAAATGATTTAAAAAATCCCTAAAAATTCACCAACACATACTTCCAACTTTCTAGAATAAATAATGGAACTTCATTTTGGAAAATAATAAAATGTAGTATAATTTATAATTACCGAAAGACTCAAATAAACTTGCAATAAACGAACAAGAATCACTCGATCACTAATAACCCATACTTGTAGGATAAGAGTTAATTAAATTTCCCGTGCCTTTTTCTTTTTTAGAAACAACTAATAAAGCTTTAATGAGCACAATTGAATCCATGCTCATTAAATTGGCACGTGTCACTTCAATTTATTTATGGCACTAAATACATTCATTATATTAACATTTAATTTACCTATTTATAATCGAATACTTCCCCCCCTCTCCTCTCTCTCTCTCTCTCTCTCTCTCTCTCTCTCTCTCTATCTCCAATCTATAAATTTATAAAGATTATTTTACAAATTATGCAAAATATAAAAGAAAAGTAGAAAGCTTTAAAACAAAAATTTTCATTAGAAAGTGGACAATACAGCTTAAGATCTTTACAAAATCCAAGTTATTCTCTCTCTAACAATTTTTCTTTCAAAACGCGTGTGTATTACATGTCACTGTAGGTATTTATCATTAGCATGATTTAAATTACGTAAAAATCTTAATATCTTCTATTATAATTTAGTCGTCTCATTGTAGCTTTCATCATAACTTGATGGCATTGAGTAATTGATTCAATACTAATCGTTCATGAGTATATCGTTCACAACCTCTCATTATTCTAAATGTCATATCTAATCTCTTGACTGCGACTTTAATTTGTTGTTTTCAGAAGGTTAAAGCACTAACTATTAAATACACAAAGAGATTTTTCGATAGCTCTTGCTATATTTAATAATTAGTCATCAGCAAACAGAAAGTATGCACCGCTTTGTATATTCCACAATCTTGTCTCGTATTCGGAAAAAAAATAAAATAAAATGTACATCTGTCAATTTCATATCAACTACGAAGCTCTGAATAATTTGAATTCAAAATCATATTAATCAATCTTATTTCTGCTTATACCTAGGATATAGTATTTTCAATATTTTCAGTATTCGTTATCTGCGAATTTGTCGAATCAATCTCGGATTTCCGATGTTTTTCCAAATACCTTCTTCGTGCTGTTAATCTCATATGTTCTTTTCGTCGTTGAAGTATAAGTTCTCTCTCAGCAGATGATTTCGAAAAACGACCACCAAGACTCGAAGGTTCTTCTCCACTATATAAAAATAATATATTTACATATAGATTACCCAATGAAAAATATTCTAGAATATCTAGATTATGAGATATTATATCTATTATATCTATTATATCTATTATGAGATGTACAATATGACAAAACATGTTCATCTCGATTTACGATTTCAGATTTTTAATAGATCGATTATCGTGTATTTCTTAACACAGATAATATTAAGGATATAGCTTAATGTATTTATATTCTTAATATTTCAAATCTTCCTTACCTATCGGCAAAAGGAATATCGAATCTAGGATCCGATGAATTTTGGATCGAAGAGCTGGGCGTAATATTTGTCACGATCGTTTGCATTTGTGGGACGGATTCTTCTTGCGGTTCTTCGATTAAATGGTGTGGTATAGTTAATATTCCATCAAGTATATTCTCAATTGTCCATTCAACCGATCGAGTCATTCTAAGATCTTCTAGGATTATATTGCGAGGATAATGAGGAAAAAGTAGTTGTACCTATTAAATATATTTGTTAGGATAAATTTTTTCTTTTACAAGATCCATAAGAAATTTAAAATTGGTTTACATTCTTTATACATAAACATAATAAAGTCGACACACATGCACACATATGTATATATTACCTGTCTCGCCATTGCATCCATCTGGGAATTAGTATGTGCAAATGTAGATATGTTACCACGTAATCTGTTGTGCGAGACCTCGACGGAAAAACTAGGTAACCAAGATACATATCTCGATGCATCGAGAAAGAGGAAAAAATGGTTACTATTTCTTCTCGTAGGGGTTTGTGGATCAGGAGGTATCTCTAGAGTGTTCTCTCTATGATTCGCCTGCATACTCAAACCCAATCGACATGTGGGACATGATGTGTCTTGTTCTAACCAAGATTGTAAGCATGAGTTGTGAAACAAGTGCGTACAGGGTAATTTACGAGCGCTTTCCATTTTCTCCCAACATATAGCGCAGTTATCAGAATTCTCGGCTAACTCATCTTGTGAAGCCATTGGATAACTAAAAATATAAAAATAATTATTTATCTAAAAAAAATTCTCGATTATTTGTAATTTAACGCAATTACAAAGAAGTTTATAGACTCTTACATATTTAAAAAAATAGAATAAAATGCGAACTTGCAACAATATAAAATGTTATATGCCTATGATTATTACAATTTATTATTTTCAACAAAAATAGAGCTTAAGAGAAATTATAATTAATATTTAAATTTCCGATGATATTTGGATATTTTCATTAAAATTTGTGCATATACGTGTATACGCGCGCGTGTGTGTGTAAGAAAAATTCCCGGAATAAGATGCAAATATATGACATTCTGTCTATGAACTTTTAATACATTATAAAGTACTTGATGTTTTATCAATGAAATCTAAAATAATGCACAAGATATCGTAAGAAAGTTATAATAAAATCAAAATAATAAAACAATTGCACCTAATTATGTATAGCATAAATGCACATTACGTACTTCTGCTCCATATGATTTAGTACAGCCAAATAGTTTCTATGTTTTGTAATTCTCCGCTGTATCTCGTAGAACAGATATCTCAATTGCATACATATTACTAGCGATGCCATGCTCAAAAGGATATTACTCCACAAAAGCATGTGAACATGATGAAAAAAGTCGACTGCCAGCACAATTAGTTCCGAAATCAAATCCGTATAATAAGTCAATGGACCACGTTTATCCCAAGATCGTTGCGCCGAAGTACCGGCACCTCGAGTATCATACAGATGAATCAAGTACCGTAACATCACGTGAATCGTACGGACTCCAAGTAGAATACACTATAGAACAAAAAATTATTATGAGATAAAGTCATTATATTTTAAACAGCGTATGACAGATTTGATATTTTCCCAATTTTCATTCAAAAGTGAACTAATAACTACTTAACAAAGAATGTGAATAATTCACGTAAACACACACACACACACACGCGCGCGCGCGCGCGCACGATATGTCTAAAAAATTCTAAAAAAATCAACAAATTCAATCAGTTTTATTGATATCAGTTTCTACATAGTCCCCTCCTTTTTACAGTGATTGGAACTATTATAATAGCTTTTCTTCTGGAAAAGACGATTCCGAAAGAGTAGTGTTATAATAACTTCCAATCATTGTATTGAATGCTACCATTCTATTGAATGTATCAAAAGAAAGGGAACTATATAGAAGCCTTATCTAAGAATTTTTTGGATATATTGCGTGCGTGCGTGCGTGCGTGCGTGCGTGCGTGCGTGCGTGTGTGTGTGTGTGTGTGTGTGTGTGTGTGTGTGTGTGTGTGTGAGAGAGAGAGAGAGATACTCGAAATTGAATAGAATTTATAAATAGTGATCATAAAATTGATGTCGATAAATAATTAATTGTTATATTGCTTACCTCAGCTGCCATAAAAGCAAAAGTATTGAAAGATATGAAAAAGAAAGCTGCAGCGATGCAGAATAAAAGCATGAAGGAAGATAGCACAAGTATTGCCGCTAACAATACGAGAAGTCGCGCGTGACTCCATCCTGGCGTAGTGGGTGAAAAGGATAGCTAAAATATAAAAATTATACATTACAATGTATATACTTCTTGAGACATAGTATAATGATACTTGATCAAAATTATTGATTATTAAATATAACAAAAAAATATTCTAGAATCTAATGTATTTTTATTTTAAATTAATATAAATCTATTAGGTGTTGGAATTAATTCGTAGCGTTTTACAAGTGATGGGAAGTACTTTCATTAATGTATTTTTTAATGCTCATGTGAAATAAATAACATTCTTTCATTAAAAAACGCTACGAATTAATTCCAACACCTAATATATAGCGCGCAAAGTCATATAAAAGATATTTCTATTACATTTTCAAGATTAATTGCCTTTTTTGACATGTTTTTGCTGTTCGTAATACTCACATATTCAAATCGATCTTTGCAAAGTTGACTAAGAAGACTCAGGAAGCCGAGCGCCAAAAACCATACACACCAGAGTACAATTTCGTCCATGTATTGTACATTCAAAACTCCAAAGACGAAGATAAACTTGTAAAAAAGGAAATTCCAGAATTTGTCTTTCAAATGATGGTTCTCTGAGGCACGTAGTTCGCCAAATACAAGCTTTTGGATGGTTTTGCCAAGTAGAATCAACATGCAGTTAGCCATGTTGACTAAAGTCTGTAAATCATAAAAAAAGAAATTGTAAGGGATGTATAATGATAAAATAACATATATTGAAGTATTAAGTAGAAAAATGTAAAATAATTTTAGATATGCATATAGTTGAAATTTTTTAAGAGAGAAAACTTTATTAATTTTAGGGGAAATAAAAATGTATTAATTAAAATATAAATTATAAATTTGATTCAATGTTTCTTTTTTAACACTGATAATTAAACTAAATGTTTATATTAAAAAAATAAATTCTACATTTTTTATTGTTCAATTTGTTTATTTTTTATATCTTGTATCAAAAATAATATGAATAGATGTTTTCTAATACGCGCACTCTAAACAGACGACAAATAGTTTGAACAAGTGTTGTCTAATCGTTGCCAAATGATAGAAAGGCCATCTAATTTTAGGCTCAAACTTTTCTCCGTTTCAATGTCTCGCCAACAAAATTTTGAAATACACTGCAGTTATTTGAGATGCAAATTAGAAAATTTTGATATACACGTTGATACGAAATGGAAGTTTTTTTTCCTTATCGCTATGTCATACACGCGCGCGCGCATATACATACAAAATAGGAAAATATTTGAATCTTCAATAATGTCATTTTATTGATAAAACGAAATAATTTCTTAAATCTACAAAATTTTAATTGCAATAGTAGGAAATGATAGTATGGTGTGTAACGTCATTCATCTTGAATATCTTTATTGCCTCGTAAAGATAATTTGACAACTAAGCGATAAATATAATTAAAGAACGTTTTATAGTAATTTACGGAACATTACATAACAATTTTTTGCTTGCTGATAATTACTAAACTTGAAATAATTTTATAACAAATATAAATAACGATCGAAATTTCAATCTTAAAAGATAATAATTAAAAAAAAAGAGACGTAAATCTTTTTCTATATTATATTATACAAATGTGTACAAATTAATGTATTTAATTGCAACGCAAATACAGTTAAATCATAGCGTGAATCTAACGCAATGCAAAAATCAATTTGGAATATTTATTCGAAAAAAACAATCGTCAAGCAAATCATGCAATAGTTGCATAATTTGTCTGATATATATATATATATATACGACAATTGTAACGAAACATGTAATGTCATAAGAAAGGAAGATAGCGCGTTCTGTTATCAATTGTCACGAATGTTAATTTCCTACTTAAAAAAAAAAAGTATATTCATCAAGTGTGGCATAAACGAGACTGTTTACAATCTATTTGATTTGATCAAAAATTTATTACGTTAAATTAAACAATCCATAAAACACATCTTGGTCCAATTTATCAACTCAATCATCTCATCAATTTGTTATCATTGTTTTCTTTTCGCTTTAGCTCGCTTCATGAGACAGATGGTCATTAACTATTATATACGAATAAAAGATAAGAAGACAATGCAAACTATAACATGAAAATTACTTTGTAGCTAATTATAAAAGATAATAGATTAAGAATCATATAAAACTTTACAATGCCATCTACTCTTCAAAGTTTCTGATACTAATAAGTTTTTTAAAAAGTGCAACGATATGATAATATCAAAAGGAAATTCAAAAATGCGTAAAACTTATGTATTAGGATTTATTATACTCTTAATTAGACAGTTTTATATTCATTTATTTGGAATAAACATACCCAAACACAGACAGGTTCCATCACCATACATTCCAAGAGTTCTTTAAGGTGCGTGCCAAGACTTCTCGGATCAGTCGGATCGAGAATGTCGCCTGCAGAATGGACTCCGACATCGACATGCGTATGATTCGTTTTCCAAGCAGGATCCTTGATTATTTGAGTGGCATAATATATAGAAAAGGAAAGTATGGTGACGCTTATGGCGGCATACACTCGAAGATTCGGAAATGGTAACCGCTCCAAAAATTCCATCGGCATGATTGGAAGAATTTCGGAATTTCCGCTTGTGTGTTAAAACACTTGTTAAATCTGCAATCAAATTTCAGTCGCAGTTCGTAGCTGAAGACTTTTCTTTACAATCAAGTATCAACGTTGCAAGTTTTAACAGGTTCCCCTAATCTATCTTTCACATCTTATAATCTAAAAAAAAAGAATCAAAAGCAAAAAAAGTAATAAAATCTACATTGAAAAAATAATGTTCTGTTACTGTTGTATTATATACGGAAATTTAATAATCTCGACAAACACATGACGTTTTCAATAAACGCACATCTACTCATATGAGATAATTTCATCAAATCATTCAATCGGGAGTAATTTTTTGTAAAACCATTTATCGCATCGTTTATATTGACAAAATACCGTAATATTAGAATGAAGCTACGGATAGATATATTTGTAACGTTGGTGATTTTCGAAAAGTTTCAAGAAATAAAACTGCAGGTGCGTTTGGTTACGTTTAAAAACGTAATCAAAGTAAGAGAGTAGGGCATAATCTCGAGGTAAAACGATGCGGCGATCGTGCGATGTGACTCAACGCATATCTATCGCGCTGCATAGTTGCACGATATCGAATGCGACAAATCCACGTCGCGCTGATCGCTTCGGCTCTGCATCATTCTGCATATCGCCACGTATATACATATAATGCGCGTCGCATACGGCGTACGGCCAGCCGTGCTTACGACGTTATAACAGCAATTGCACACGGCAGTTGTTGTACATGTATAGTATAATAGTACGATGAGGCATAACCTTCGGTCGTCCGGTGCTCCACATTCTGATGTTTACCAAAGTAAACGTTACTCCTCGTGATGAAAAAAAGGGGAAAGAAACGGATTCATTTCAGAGAGAGAGATTTGAAACATTTATTTGCGCCAATCTCTCCCTCTCTGTCTCTCTCACTCACTCAACTAATTCCGTGAATAACAATAACGATGCAGTTTTCATCGGAATGTTGCACGATATTAGGTTGTGATAGCCACGCAACAATACGCAATACTACTATCATTTATATATTTATACATCCTAATTGGCTAATATAAGTTTGATATATCGACTGTATTTTGACGTTTAAAATCATCCCGGGAAAATAAACAACCGTTATTCGTTTTATCAGGCGCTGTTCAAAAATCTGTAATATAGTATATAAAAATATTACTTGTTATCTTGTTTCCGAATGTTTTGAGTTTAACGACGCTAACGTGACCCTGAAAAGCTGGTCGCGAATAATAATATAGTAGTGATAAACTGATGAGATGAAAAAATAAATCGGCGAAAAATATAAGGCCCGCTGACAGTGTCGATTCGGAAGTAAGTTTCAAATCTCCAAGTCGATTTAAATTTTGATTGACCTAGATTGAACACGGTTCTCGAAATATAACATGCGAGAAATCGAAACATTGTACTCTCTGCCAAACACACTCTAAAGCTTTCCATCAACATGTTTTTTACTTGGTATTTGCACAAATGGCAATCGATCTCTCGCGTAGCGACGTTATTTTAGAATAATTCGAGGAGCAGAGAAAAGGAAGAATTAGAATATAATGAAACGTCCCGCATATACGTGTCATCTATCGTACGGTATTTTTCGACGACAAGGTCTAACGACTCTAGGTGATTAAACGTGGCCGTTATCGCATAATTAGATAGTCGCAAGTTTAAAAATATAAAGACACGCGAACGAGGAAGTAATTAGATTGCACAGCAAGGATCGGAGTTACGGATCATGTTTAAAAAATGGAAAGGAAATTTCCTTTGGAACGATATATTCTCGCTTTTGGAGACGCTTTTGAGTGCGAGTTTTAAGCGTGATGAATCCTTTATCTACGCTAAACATTGATCGACGAGTCGCGCCGTGCTGGTCGCGCGAGTCATTGATAGAATTGGATAGAATTATAGAAAGCGCCTTTCACGTAGTAAAGTCGGCAAAAGAGTTAAGGCGCCACAAATTGCCACAAATACTGCAGCTGCTTGCTGCTATTTGCTGCTACTAGCGATAATTTGATAACATCTCTCTCTCTCTCTTTTTCTGACATTTGATCCTTGATTCAATCCCATCCAATCGTTTCGGCTACGTTTCTTCCTAGCTAGCCTAGATGCTTTTATATTTGGCGAAAGGTACTTATAATTTTCTAGTATGTGTACAATACAACGTGACTCTCATCACGTGCAATAGCTTTAGTGCAATATCTCCCGCATATATCTTTACATCGCGAGTAAATTACATGACGTATGCGCTTGTTTGTTAACGTCAAGATAAATTGCCCTCCCCCCCCCATCTGTAAGTACTTGTATAAATAAAATATACATCTGGTGTATTTGTAATTTGCCACAAGACGTCCGGTTATTTAGGTACATAACGAGCATTTCAACGCGATGCTCGCAGAGACGAGACAGAAAATCAATGTAACGTACGTTTGTCATTTGTTTGTACGGCCGTTTGTACCGGCTTGGTACCAGCTTGATATGGTGGAAGAAAGAAAGGGCTGGAGAGAGCAGCCAGGAGTACCTACAAGATGCTAGCGCCGATTGATGCTGATAATGGCACTTGTATGTAACGGCCGTGACACCTTATGCCAAATACTCGTGTCAAACGTCCAAGTCTGATGGTCAATTTTTTTGGACACGCTGGAGCACGCGGTGGCCGCGTCGCGAGGGAATGCGAGAGAACGAGCAACGATGCACCTGAATGCACTGGAGCCAGCCGGAGCCGGGGAGGTATAGGTTGGTAGGTGGCCGGTGGGAAAAAAAAGAGAGAAAGAGAACAGCGTCTATTGGCGACACATGACGTACTTACGCACGAGCAAATGTCCGTTTCAAGCGTTTCCCGAGGCTCGCTTTGTGCGTCTCGAGGGGTACGTCTACATCATAAACGTGCCGCGAAATCTCGATGGAAGACCTCCAAGATTGACGCAATACGGACGCGCTGCAGCATCGATTAGCACGGACGGCGAAACGAACAATTTCTCCCCCTCTCTCTCTCTCTCTCTCTCTCTCTCTCTCACAAAGTCGCAAACACACCCACGACTGATCCTCCGTAGAAAACGGAACGATATGACATATTACGATCCAGCACGGTAGTATATCACCGAACTGATAGACTCCAATCGACTCTGCTTGCGAGCGTTGACGTTAATAAACTGACCAGTGCTAACTGACCAATACTTGCCAGCACTCGTAAGCACTCGCCAACCACTCGCCAGCACTACCCGGGACTATTCAGGCAGGGTGACAGCGACTCCGGGCCGGGATGCTTCATGCTCCAGGAACAGCTCGACACGCTTGACAGTCGACGCCATCGACGCCATCTGACACCGCTCCCGGAAACTATACGCTGCATGGAAGAGAAACTCCTTCGGTAACGTCACCAATTATATCTGTGTTATAATTTTATCGACAAGGTTGAAAGGAAAATGAATGTGGCCACGTAGTACCCAAAATGAAAATGGATGCACTGGCGGTAGTGTATTTTGGCAGGTTTCTTTCTGGCCAAAACTGAACACTACACTGTGTTCCCAGTTTACACTTCTCAGTTTCCTACCACGCGGCAATCGGCGTATGTGATATGATATATGATAATGGCTAGTGCTAATTAAATGCTCTCTGCTTCATCGAATTTGTTGATATCTACTTGTATTTATCTGATTGCTAATTGGTATTCTACCGTTATAATTTTGTCTTCGACATGGTATTATGTTGTAATTCTTTTGTCGAGGACAAAAGTTTGGCAATAAATTGAGTCGTAATTGTCGGAAGCCCAAACAGGGGCCAATTTCAAGAAGAAGAAGAATAAGTGATAATAACGGGAATACATAAATATATCTTCTGAAGGAATATCAACGACCATCTGCATCGCTTCTCGAAATGTCGCAACAAAGTGCTATCCAGACGACGACGGCAACTACAACGGTCTCGGAAATGACGCCGGTACTTGGAACTCTACAGTCCGTGGGACCTAATAATCAGACATCATCGGTTTTGCCTAACGTGCAAAGCAGCACTACGACAACCCCTGTACAGTCACAAACGCAATCTCAACAAACTCAGTACGTTCCCCAAACTCCAAAATCGGTGCAGCAGTCATCTACTCCAAGTTCTTTTAGCGATTTTCCACAAGTACGTAATCAACGAGAAAACCTTGAGTAGACTACTCGTATATGGTTTTATGCTTGAGATATCTTTTTTTATTACAAATATAACATTGTACCGAGTCTGTGTACGAGTTCTTTGTTCTATATGATATAATTTCTTGTCTCTTTTTGTTGACAACACAAATATTCTTTGATAAAATTTTCCTCTATTGACATAACATGGATATTACTGTTTGATTTTAGTTTTTAACAAAAACAAGGTTACAAGATTTGGTAAGAGAAGTAGATCCCACTGAACAGTTGGATGAAGAGGTAGAAGAGATGCTTTTACAATTAGCAGATGATTTTGTGGAAACAACAGTGAATGCAGCTTGCCTGTTAGCTAAACATCGTCATGCAAACACAGTGGAAGTTAAAGATGTACAGTTACATTTAGGTGAGTTATGCTAATAGCTATCATTTTTCTCATTTGTTAGAAAAAAATGATTAATTTATTAAAAATAAATAATAAATTTCCTTTATATACGAATTACAGCAGAATAATTTGTTACTTTTTTATTTTATTTGCTGAAAAACTTTTAATATTATTAAACTTTATCCAAATTCAAAGTCAAAAAGCAGAGAATGTTGTTTATGTATGGATTTTATTCATTGAACCAAGCAAATTTCCAGCATTATAAAACTTTGCAAGTGCAACTTAAAATAAAAAATTTTTTACATACATGATACATTATGCAAAAAAAATATATATGAATGCTATTTATATTTTAATTTTTAGGAAGAAATTGGAATATATGGATTCCTGGGTTTGGTACAGATGAAGTTCGTCCATACAAGCGAGCTACTGTCACTGAAGCACATAAACAAAGATTGGCGCTTATACGAAAGTCTATCAAGAAATATTAATTCTTTTATGAATTAGTTTTTCATTTTCGAAAATTAAGAACTTGTATTTTATATATTTTTAAAAGTCTCAAGTATTATACTGCTGTAGTCTTGCGACAAAACTGTTCATCTTGTATATAATTTTTCCTTTTCACACACATACCAGTCGTTCCTCTTTTAAATACTATTTTACTATAATGCAAACGATAAAAATAGATTAGATGTAAAAACTGTACATTTCTTCAAATTTATGTTATAAATGTGTAAATATTTTTGTACAAACGACCACCAAAATGTTCCCAATATATGTAAATAAGTAACATATCGATTCTATTTGTTTTTTTTAATGTACATGTAAGTATGTAAAGAAAACTACATGATAATCTTTAAAGCTGGGAAATTATCAACTGTTTTTGCATTGCTATATTTCTGTTTTGAAATTGAATAACGTTGATTGTGTTACTTTTTTATATACTTAATGTGGAAATATCTGTTTTGCTCTAAATGCTACTTTATAAGAGGACGAAAAAATTGAAATATACGTTTTTTGCATAATACTATTTAAAAATGCAGAGAATATATTGTAAATTATATAGAAACCGTCTTATACAGATGTTACACGAATAAGGCGAAAAACAGCGATCATTCACTCGCAATATATAAACATCATACAAATATATTATAAAGAAAACGTTTGCAAGCAGATTTCACATGTAGCACGTATTAAAAATATATAATCTGTGTTCACATATACGCCTATATATCATTATACATATGCGTAATAATTCAAATAGTACTGACAATATATTTTCAGATCGCATTGATTCTTTTTAATTTTCCATTAATATTATTAGATATATCGTCTATAATATATTCATCGATTCTCAAAATGTTTCTCGAAATGTTTCATTTTCTATACACGAAAAGTTTCGAGAAAAATACGCTTAGAAGTCGAGATCTTTTTCTGATTCTCAAGTTGTAAATATTGTGAAACAGTTAATAAAAATTCGAACATTTTGCAAGGGCAGCTACTGCTAATCGCACTTAAAACGATCCATCAGAACAATCCTATATCTTTCTTGAGATTCACTTGTTTCCAGACTGGAAGCTGTTGAAATTCTTCTTTACTCATTCCCAGCAATTCCTATAAATTACAAAATATTACATATGTGTATATACATATACAATGTTAAAAACATTCTGTCCGATATCTGCTAATATATTCGTCGATTACTTGATTATTCAATTGCTATTGATCAATTGATAATACTAACTTGAAAGTGTTGTTGGGATAAATACAATTCTAGGCATGTTGGATCGACTCCGTCAGGTAAAGGTCTTTGTAACAGCTGGGCAGGAGGATATGTACTTTGCGTTAGACGAGCCAATTCATTTTCCACAGTCAATACTTCTCCTGAATTCCGGCCATCCTAGTAATATGTTTTATAAATATACATTACATTGCGTATTTAAATTTTATTATGACAAAAATCACGCGTGATCAAGATGTATCAAATAGAATTCTTTTATTTATCTAAAATATAAATAAAGATAGGATAGTTATCATTTTCAAGTAAGATCTTTTCTTTCTCTAATAATAAATCACATAAAAAATATAAAAAGGTTTGAACAGAAAAGAAAATAAGATATCCTTTTCTCAATGTACCTCTATATTTAATTCAGCAACGTCATCCCGATACGTCCACTCCGGAAAAAGATTTGTAAATTGCAACGGTTCTAAACCAGCCCATATCAAATATATTGGAAGATTCGTTGTTTGTGCGTTTCGAGTCTCTCGCCAATATCGTATCGCTATCTTCATGGTTGCTCTTCTCTCAGCCTGCCATCGGACAGTTTTGCTTCCAGATTGATCTTCCGTTTCACTATCAGGCCACCAACCTTGCCAAATCCAAATCACATTCTTGTCATCCAATAAAAATAACGCTAAAAATTATACAAGAGTCAATAAAGTGATTATAATATGGATAAATAATTTTTAGCTAAAACTTCTCATAAATAATTTTTCTCATAAAAAACTGATTAAAATAACGACTAAATAAGAATAAAATGCACTTCATAAAGACATTACCTGGTTGATTTGCTTGATACAAATCATCTTGTGAGAAAGGGAACGGTGTTGGCAGGTCCGCACGATATGGACAAAGTATTTCTGTTGCGCGGAATTTTTTAGAAATACTAGATAAATGATAAAGCTTTGGAGTATGATCTTGTATTTCAGCTGTTTCCAACAACCAATACAATTTTTTATTTATGCCACCTAATGCTAAAAAATGCAAGATACAATCTCAACTTTTTCATGACAATGTACAATAGAATAAATTTAAGAGAATATGTATACGTTCTATATTCTTAAATGTTAACTTTTCATTAAGTTTTACTTACCATTACTAAATTCTCCAGGTTCCATACCTTCTTGAACTTCACGTATTTCTATGTTATTTTTATTCGATAATCCAATTTCTTCAGGTCGATTTTCTTTCAATTTATTTGCAGCTTTTAATGCATTCTATAAAAAGACAGAAGAAACAATGAATATTGGAGAGACAAACGAAACTAAGAAATACGGAGATGATAAAAAGAGATACATAGAAAATAGATAAATAAAGAAAGAAAACAATCAAGATGAGAAAGGAAACGAGAAAAAGTCATGATTATTCCATTCTGCAATAAAAATTAAGCAGCAGATGAGAGTAATATGATTAAAATATTTTGAAATAATAATTTTATATTAAAATGTTTTCTAGATTGTTCGATTAATCAATTCGTTTACTGCTTTTGTTTTTTATATATTGTTTTTCTTTTGCATGTAGTACAAACCCAATAGCTAGTAAAGTATAAAATTTATCGCAATGTTAATCTCTTTATCCATGTACGTACAATCGATCATAGAAAGATTACAACACTTTTGTTTCGATGAGTTTCGGAATGTAGCTTGCTCACCGAGTGATTGATTCTTTATGGATCTAACCATTTTCGCTCTATGAGCAAGACTGAGTTTCGAAATCTAAAAAACAGTGTTGCAATCTTTTTGTGATCATATGGCTGTACATATATATATTATTAATATTATAAAAATTTGTAGGAAATATACTTCTCTAATATGGCGTAATGAATTGCTTCCATGCCAGATATATAGTTTTGCATTTTCGGTGTTTAGTAATATGAAGGAACCTCTACTTCTTAATTGTCGAGTACTACAAGGGATTTCAATCAAGAATGTCTCAGTTTCTAAAGTTCCTCGGCAAATATACAACCTCCATCGTTTCTCACATTTTTTCTCAGATTTCTTGCCACTATGCACCACCATCCTTCCAGAGAATAAATTTAAAAATGCGGCTGGTTCGTGTCCTTGAACAACATGAACCTGCAAGTATATATATATATATATATATATATATATATATATATAAAATAAAACAAAATAGTTTCATTTACAATAATAACAAAATATATTTCTTGATATTTTGTCCAATATTTGATTTTTAGTAGATATTAAATAGGACATTTTTTTCCACTTAGAAAACAATTTTAGAAAGCAATTTCAAAATTGAATTAAAATTACAAGTAACATTATGTAATAATATAGCCAGTATTCGAAGAAAACGATTAAGACACTAAAATAAATTCAAACAAACAAAATAACTGTATTACAAAATTTGATTGCATATTACTGTCCTCACCTGAGGACCTCGATTGCTGTCTAATTCGATTGTTAATAATGCCGCGGCCCCTCGTTCATTCAAAGATGCATTTCGACCTTGCCAAATAAAGTATACAGATCTATCGCGACCTTTTGCTGAGTGTTTAGATGGTAAACCACTGAGTTCTCTACCTAAGAGCATAATAAACAAATTTGTAAAAGCAATTACATAATTAAAAGCTTATTCATAAATCTATCTTAAATTCATATTCTCAAAAAATAAAAATCATAACAATTATACAAAACTAATGCCTATAAAAGAAAAATATTACGCTTATTTTTTAAAAATTTGATTAAAACAGTTTTTGAGATAAAACTCTTCTATTCACGAAATTGTTCAATAAACAGCTCACCAGTAATTGTAACGGAATACGTCCATTGAATAATATAACTATCGCCAGAATAAAATTGACCAATAGATGATCCGTCTAAAAGCGTATGCGAGAATTCATCGATATGCCATACTATAACGCTCGTTGTAGTAACGACATATTCTTTCTTCAACTAAAATCAAATCGAACGAAATTATTGATTCGCTTGTGAATCGCGGACATTTATTGTGAAAAAGTTGCTTTCTTCTGAATGAAAATGCATTGAAAGCAATAGTTGGAGTTTGAAAACGGGATGTATTAGTTTCAAATTATAATTATTATTTTTACATTCCGTTTTTATATACTAATATATTAGACGCAAATACTTTTTGTTAATAAAAAAGAATTACTTCATTATCATAACAACCAGTGCCTCTGCCCAAGTGACAGCCTTCTAAAATAAAATCAACTGAAGAAGAGTTTGGTAGCCACATATCGTCGTTTTCATCCGGATGCACAATCATAGCACTGTCGATTTGTCGCGTATTATCATTTCGACCACGCGTCTTTGTCACACCGGTGACATTAGGCCAGTCGAGGAATTTCTCACGGAATAATATTGTTTCGACGTGTTGAGTCAATTTGGCAAGTAAACACCATTCGGGTCTGCTTTTGGCGAATTTTGCAGAGGGAGTTGTACAAGAGTCACTGTTTCGATTACCAATCATACGGGCAGCATTAATCGGACAAGCGGTGTACTCGCTGTAATCATATCCGTTGTTCCACATTTCTGTAGCCAACTGTGTAGCGAGTTTCTTCTTGTCCGCCGAAATTCCTTTGCCACTCCAGATATACATCTCGGTGCCAAAATCGAACACTAGAATCTTTATAGAACATTCAAAACGCATACAATATAATTCCTCTTTGTATTACAGAATAATTTTTACAAAACAAATATTTAATTATAAAATGCGATTATCTTTAAGAAACTTAAATTGAATTAACTACAACAAGCAGTTTCCAATTTGGAACATATCCAAATCTATCAAACATTGTTTCTAATGAACCAAATTTTCATCATAAACCATCGTACATTACGTTTGTAAGATACAATTGTACGAAAAAAGCTTCATTTTTTTTAAATGAACAATTTATTTTTCACGATATTTTACTATACCTTTTTTATTTTACTCAACATATGTTAATAAAATATAAACCAATATCTTGAAAAATTCTGATTTTAGAGACAGAGAGAGAGGAAGTGGTTTATTAAAAATTTCATTGTTTAGATATGCATAAAATCGAGACGTTTAAAAAACTTATAAATAAATAAATAAAAGTTATTTATTTATTAGGTGTTGGAATTAATTCGTAGCGTTTTACAAGTGATGGGAAGTACTTTCATTAATGTATTTTTTAATGCTCATGTGAAATAAATAACATTCTTTCATTAAAAACGCTACGAATTAATTCCAACACCTAATAGTATCAGACAAAGGTCAAAAAGTAAAACATATCGTAATCTTATAAATCTACGCGTATGTTTCTTTTTTATATTGGACATTATGTCGAATTATATATTACTCGTATTATATAGGCCGATTCTTTAGAATTATAAAGATCTAAACATTACCTTGTTCTTATTGAGCATTTCTATCTTTGGAAGCGTACCCCAGAATTTTTCATGCAACACTAATTGTTCATCTTTCAATTCGTATACCATATTTGTATCGATAATGGCAGATTCATACAATTCATCTTCATCAGGATGACCAGCTTCAATAACTATAACAATTTATATTATGTTTTTTTACCATTTAAATATATTTTATAAACATTGATAATGATCCGATCGTGATCGAAACGTTTGTTGTTAGTCGACATGTTATTAATTTCATAATTAATTTATTAAGACATTTTTTTACTTATCTGACCAATTTTATAAGTCAAACTTCTGGCTCATAGTTTTTTTTCTTTTAATTTATAACAATATAATTTTATAAAATACATCATTTATGTGTATGTAGTAATATACAAAAAGAACGTCGCGTACAACGCAAAAATAGAAAGAAGAATATACCATTTAGCTTCTCACTGTCAACCACACCAAGATAACTCCAAAATTTAAAAACTTGATTCCTCGAGCAAGTTAGTTTATCATCATTTATAGTGATGACTTCGACCGCTTGACAACCTAAATCCTTGCGTTGTTGAATACTCAATGCGATCTCAGCGGCACGAGTTTTCTCGATAATATTGCTATATTTCCCTATATAGTTAAAAACCTGCAATTCATTGAAAGTCAGTTTTGTTAATGATTAGTAAAAAAAGAAAGCATAGAAAAGATGAGCATATGAACGATGTTTTATATCGACTAATGTATTATATGTTCTATTATAATGTAATTATTATTATGATTACCTCCGATTTTGTCACCAGTATATAACTATCACCATTATTGATACTCTCGGCGACAGGTTCGACTAATCTGACTTGAACGTGACGTCTTCCCTTAACCAATATCAACATTATATTTTTATATGGTTGCAACTTATTTGTGGACACACTTGTTTCCGACACATTTCTCAAAGTCACTGTACTAAAATCCTCAGTAGAAGCCAATCCGGCGAGAGCCTCGACGGCAAAAGACGAGCTTTTGGTATCTGAAATATCTATTGAAAATATATATATATATATATATATATGTCATGATTAATAAAAGATATGACAGAGGATCCTAGATACACTCACATCTTCTCATATTAAAGTTCGTTGCCGTTCTTGTGAGTATATTAGTACGAATTTCAGTGTATTCCGATTTCAAATCAGTGCGTGCAGCAAGAACTTTAAGAGGATTTCTCGATGTGGCTCGTCGACGTTGCATTTGTATATTCCGCTTTTGTACTAATCTGCCAAGAAATTAATTTAAATTGTAGCTATATTTACATACAAATACTTTAAAAAGTTCTCTAAATCAATTTTTTCCTGCTTTCCTTTTTTTTTCTTTTTCATTTTTATACGATTATAAAGTAGTAAAAACAAAAATTTACAATTCAGATCGTGGTGTGATTGTATCGAAGTCGCTTTCGTCTAAGTCAAGACACTCGGTTTCACACTTTTCCAGCGACACACCGCTAAAGAAAGAGGTGAACGTTTCATCGTCTGTTTTAGGTATTGAAACACTTGGCGACAAGACGTGCTCTGTTTTACATTCTTCATCTACAAATTAGAATAATCCAAATTTATAAACTAATAAACTAAATAAACATCTTTTGCGATTACAAGAAAAAGTTTTGCGCTTGCGCTGTTTAGTTGGGAATCGCTATCGCAATCTTATCACGAGCTATCCTAGGAAGATATTAACTGCGTTCGGTTTGGACGCTCGTGCACTTTAAGTGCTTATAATCATCATTCTGTCTTTATCATTCATTAAACATAAAATAAAAATAGAAGCGCTGAAAGTGTTTAAACGAACGCAGTCATAACAATTTATAGAAATTTTCTATATACTCTTCTATCACTTTACTACTTTTTTGAGATAACATGGGCCATCAGTAAAATAAAATATACGATTTTAACTACTAACCACTGTCACCGCTAATCGACTCAGAAAAATTTATGCGCGTGGTAGAAGATAAATCTTTGGATGGACTGGTAGGGGTGGATACCGCATCGTTGTTACATTCTGAAAAGATAAATATATGAAGAATATCATATAGAAAATATAAAATCTTTGCAATATCTTCTAGACACTTTAATATCTGGGATCATGTCACTAAACATTTAAAACACGATCTACTATCTTTGACAGATCCTAGAAGATAGTTGTTTAAACATTTTTTGAAACATTTTGTAAATATATTTTAAAATTCTATTGTATTTCGTCAAAATATAAAAACCTTTATCCTTCCTCATTTTAAACCATTGCGGGCGCGGAACTTTCTTCTTCTGATTTGAAATGTTTGCTGTAGCTTCCGTGAGGAATGGCGAACTGACATCTTTCAATGGAGTTACTTTCATTTTGCCAGCAACGGTAAAGTTGACTGCATCGGGTTCTACAATTCTACTCTTCCAACCTTCTGCAGCAGATTCCAGTTTCTCGATACAGTTGGCCAGCACGCCCGACTTGATTGTACTGTCCTCCAAATTGAGTAATGAGTTGTCGCATGATTCGTCAACTTTAGCACCGGCCACACGTCGTTTCCAGTTCGTGTTACCGCTATGACGTAGCGCAGCCAACCGATCCGCGATACTCACGCTCGGAGTTTCGCTTGTTTCTATTGACGCTATCACCTGTGTCGCGCTACGACACAGTCCCGGCAGTGGCAAACCACGTTGCTGTTTCCATCTCTCCTCACTTAGAGAGTGTTGACTAATACTCTTGGTTAATGAATTAATGGAACATTGTGTGACACTAGACTTTTCTTTGACAATAATATTGCGTAGTTTGTGACCGTCGTTGTCATTATCGTCGTTGTCGTCGTCGTCATCGTTGTTGTCGTTATCGTCATAGTCATTGTCATCGTCGTCACCATTGTTCTGCTTAATTTTCACCGCCAACTTTTCTTCTTTTCGACGATCGACAATATCCTTTTCGTTGTTCTCGTCATTTTCGTCATCCTTATTGTCACCATCGTTGCTGACATTCAATACCTGGTATGATTTACCTGCCAACGAATTGTCGTGCTTCTCGTTGCTGCGTCTTTCTAATGCACTACTGAATATTTTATCAATTTTGCAATTATTCACATCTGCCAATAAGATTTCTTCGTTCCGAAATAATACAGCTTTATGGGAAGGCACTGCGGCTTTGTTATCCATATTATCGCCTTGTTTAGAAACAGTTGCTCGCATCTCATCGTAAGAATCTCGCATCACATCAGGATCAGTCACTACATTGGAAGAATCTAATTTCTCGCAAAATTTAGCAGTTTCGCTGTTGAAATTTTGATTTTCAACAGTATATAAGCCTCGTTCGCTTCTTGATATTGCTGCGTCAACAACACTCGTTGTCTGAATGGGCTTCGAATAAACATTACTTTTTAAAATAGAACGAGGATACACCTCAGAACTCGGCAATATTATCGGTTGCTCCGATTCTTCAAATTCTTTCTTAAGCACAGATTTTATCAATTTCATACCTCGGAGTTCCGGACTTTTGGCACGCGACAGATTTTGCGTATAACCAGCGGATGACTTTAGAATACTTTTTGGTACATCATGCTGAGACGCTATTGCAAGCGGTGGCGAGTAAAGCGATCGTCGACATTCCTTTAAGTTTCCTTAAAAGTTAAAACAACAAACATTAATTGTTGCATATAATTTTGATAATCCAGTACAAATACACAAATAATCTCCAAAAAATACGTACCTTCAACCAAGGTTTGAATCTTGTGATTTATGTTCAGCGGTGATATCCGGGACGCCACTTGAACCTCCTCAGATGTTACAGGTTGCGTTCTATAACGGGTTGACTGTCGTCTTCTTTGAATAAACTTTTCCTGGTACGTGGCGTTTTTCCCAGCAGTTTCCGTAGTCGCAATCTTTTGATTAAAGAGTCGCACACGTTCAGCCAAGCTTAGCTTGGACGGTTCAGACTCGTTATCGGTCGTTTCCGCATTTATTAATGTTTCGGTATTGCGCTGATTCTGTAAGACTGCCTCGCGAACTTCTTCAAAAGTTACCGGTTGAGTATTGAATCTCTCGCCGCTCTGTATCTTGCGTTCGCGATAACGTTGAATGCCGCGTGATAATTTCTGCTGAGGTACGCGTTGAGAACTGTTCTCCGCAACCGCGGCGTTTGCCTTTTCTTGCAGAACTTTAAAGTGTTGTGTCATTTTCGATACACTGTTGCTACGACAAATAGCGGTGTAATCCTCGTAAACACTCTGGGCATCTTGCCCTTCTTCTATCGCTTCTTTCTTGTCAGTCGGCTGAGTTGCAATTTGTATCGCATTGCCATCAATCTTCATAAAATGTACATGTGAATCTATTTTATTTTTCTCTTCCATACCATTCGTAACTTGCTTGATTTTTGTACTGGATGTCTGGCACGATAATTTACTTTCTTTAATTACACCAGAGCTGTAAGAAACATATATATATATGTATTTAATACACTAATATTATATAATAACTTATAAACTCAATAAATTCACCTAATATATATTTATATTTTTTTTAAATCAAGACAATCCTGCGAGTTGTTTATTCATAAATATGTTGCACACGACTATCTCCAATTTCTGGTAGCTTTGAGAATTGTTAGATGATCTATAATTAAACTTGGCACGGGATCAAAGCCCCACTAAACTCATGCATCACTGCAGCAATTGCAAAAATTAATGTTATATTGTGAAATGAATTTTTTTTTCTCATATAAGAAAGCCGTAATTTAACTGAATTTCTTTTCCGATATAAAGAAAATTAAACAAACAGAGAAGTCGTTTGTGTGCGCGGATAATTAAACATGGCTAGAGTACAGAAAATAGTTAAAGTATATTTTTAAATGATTTGAGTAAATAAATCTCTATCTAAAGCTTGTTCGTATAATGAAAATTTAAGGAAAAATTTATATGATTAACATTTACATAATTATATAATACCATTTAAAAAAAGAAATAGAAAACCTCTTTCTTTGTTTAATCAAAATAAATGTTTTTCTGTGAGAATTGGAAAGTAGCCAAAAAGCTTTTTCTCATATTAATATAAATAACAATAATTCTATAAAAAAAATCAAATTTCTAAATTAATTACGCATTTTTAAGATGATTCATTTCTTAGCTTCTTTTAAAAACTGTGATACGGGAGAAAAGTATGTAATTTATATGTTCGCAAAAAGAACGAAAAGAGAATAAGTGAGTCGTATATTATGAAGCAACATTGTTGATATGCAGAGGTATATTTGATATTATTAATACATATATCCAGAGGATACATTTATAACATTATAACAATTAACACGTTGATTTAAACATACCTATCTGCTGTACAAGAAATTTCATCGGACCGGTCGGCCATAAAACAACGACGAGTGGTTGTCGGAGAATGCAACACATCAATCGGCGAACTGGACTCGAGAGATCTACGTTTGGCTAATACGCGAAGCGACTCGACACAGTCATCGTAGTTAGCAGATCGCGCATGACCTACGGACTGCGCTCTCTTTCGCAAAAAAGAATTCGCCGTTAAATCACATGTATCATCAAAATAACGGCTACCGCTGGATTGTTTCAATATAGGGCGTACGTTTTCGATTTCGTTCGCTCGATTCTTCAACACGGACAATTTCCTTGGAGAAGTCGACTCCGTCTCGTAACTGCCTTCCTCATACGAATTCTTCCGCGAGGATTTTAAAATCGTCTTCTTCGGCCTATCATGCTCGTGTTCATCTGACTCAGTACTCGATTTCTTTTTAAGTATAGGCCGAGGTTCGAGAGATGAAATGTCGCCCCCGGTTAGTTCTTCTTTGCCGTATTTTTTCTTTAATATCGGTTTCACTTCAGATCCCTCGGGACTTTCAGATATAAAGCTTGCGTTCGTGCTCGTGCTCATATTTCCACTCATATTCGTGCTCACAACGTCCGATGCAATTGTTACATGATGATTGACGCTATTGGCACGCATGCTATTTGCGAGTTTTCGTTTCAGGATGCTTTGTGGTTCTGGAGAGCCCAATGACAATCGATGAATCTCCCTGTCGTCTTCCCTAGACGATTTACGCTTTAATATAGAGGCAGGTTGTTGATCAGGGCTCTGATCTCTCTTAACAATGTCATCTAGTGAGGATCGCCTTTGATTTTTCAAAATTGGTCGAAATTCCGAATAAATATTATCAGCAAAAGAAACGTCGGGAGAACAGCTACGACGACGTAATATCTCGCTTTCATCTAAGCTGCTTCGTTTTTTCAAAATCCCATGTCTCTTGTGAGAAACAGATTCCGTAACAGATGGCGAAAAGGTTACTGGTGATGGTGCATGAAAACTGCCAGATGACATTTGGCGGTCGCCTGCTTCGCTGTCGACGGTTTTATGTTTGAGTATTGAAACTGGCGTGTGCCTAGGCGTGATACATTTTTTTGGCGACATTGACACTTTCTCGGCAGCAATATGCACGTTATCAGTCGAATGATTAGCACAGCTCGTGGTTGCAGACGCGAGTCTCTCCACGCGTTCCATGGTGGCTCGCGTTAACGCTGTTAATTCGTCCACTCTGCGTGAAACCTCTGAATCACCTATATCACCACTAAAAAGCAAAAATCATTTCTAATGCTATTTTACGTTTTCCTCTTCCATTATTATTCTTTTATTGATAAAATACTGATTGATATTGAATAAAATAAGATAAAGACTTGCACATACATTAATCAAATCTATAAACCTTCTATATTCTAAATCTAATATTTGCTTTACTCTTTTCTCATTTATATATTACTGTACCTAGATTGTTGCACAATCGAACGCTTATTCGTGATGGGCACAACGGAAGATGACGAATATGTTTTAGAAAGATTTTTTGTGATGTACTGAGTTCCAGCTTTCGAATCAATATGTTTTCTACGCAGGCTGGCCATTTGACGACAGGAATCAGCAGGATTAGATGCTGTTTCGGACACCTGACTTCGTTTAACATATTGCCTTCTGGAATGTCTTTCACTACATTCGACTAAAAATTTCATCAGATTATTGAGAATATTAAAATGAGGAAAGTGCATGTAACACGTATTTCAAATATTTCAATTAAAATTCCTCTTTACAATAGCAATAAAAATATCAATAAAAATGTTAATAGTAAATAATTTTTACACTATAGCTAAAAAGGTATATTAAAATTTCAAAAAGATATTGTAATTTAATATTTTAGATTCTCTTGAACAATTCAACAACTTCCTGTTATTGCAATTTTATATTAATAAACTTGTCTTACATTCATTAATAAATTCTTTACCTTCATTTGAACGATCAGGTGCTGTTTCCACGTGGCGTGATCTATTTAAATAAGATTTACGTTTGTACCCCTTATCTCTTTCCTTGACAGAATTCATGCTGACATCAAGGGATGTAGAATTTTTCTGTATATAAATATACATTATGCTTTTACATTATGTTAAACTTTTCTCGGAATTATTAGGTGTTGGAATTAATTCGTAGCGTTTTTAATGAAAGAATGTTATTTATTTCACATGAGCATTAAAAAATACATTAATGAAAGTACTTCCCATCACTTGTAAAACGCTACGAATTAATTCCAACACCTAATAATAAAAAAAAAAAGATATTATATATCATAGATAAATACATATAGAAATATATAATACATAATCTAATGAAAATTCTTAAAGACTAATTTATTTTAAATAAAATAATTAATCTCTTTAAAATTTTTTCGCTATGTGATGAATCAGTATAGTGAAGAAAGTATATTCCCCAGGAAAAAAATTCTTTTAATTGCCAAAAAGTATTATACTATAAATAGAAATATATCATAATTGTACATCATTGGTCAGTCATTAAACAAAATTTAATAATTTCTTAAACAATTTATGAAAACTTGTGAAAATATGTTCTTTTGTGTGATAAAATTATATACAAAATTACATAGATAAGAATATTCCTTTAAAAAGGGAAAAAAATAGAAATAAAATTTATTGACCTATCTATTACTGTTATTTGCTTTGCAATCTTGAGCTTGATTTTTATTTTAATAAAAAGAGAATTAAAAACTTTCCTATCTTATTAATTTAGCTGAAGATGATTAAATGAAGTTGAAACGTTCCTATGTCATGTAAGTATGTAGTTTGAAAAACTAGTTTTTATTTTCTTTGTTATTAATGCTTAAAAATAAACTAGTTTCTACGTTATGATTTAATTATTTGCTCGTATTTGACGACCTTTCTTATATTTTTCACAAATACACTTACTTGTTTAGTTGATGAATTGTGCCGTTGAGAGTCAGGAATTTCTGATCCAAGTAATTTCTTAGATGATAATGTTACATCTGTTTGTATAAAGAAACAATTTATTTATATATGCTTTTGCAAATGAGTCCAGCTATTGTTATGGTACATATATACCACAACAATATATTAGCGATTAAACATATATATATATATATATATATATGGGTGTCCCGTTTTTAATGACGACCTCAAATATCACTTAAATAGTGCATTTTAGAGAAAAATGTTTCAGACAAAAGTTTTGTGGCTTCGAGAAGGACATAAGATGGTATCATTGATTTGATCTTGAATTTTGAATTTATCAAGGTCAGGACAAGGTCACTTTGAATTTTTTCAATGGAACTCTCCATTTTTTCATTACATTAATCTTCATCTCTTACATCCCTCAAGTTACAAAACTTTTGTCTGAAACGTTTTTCTCTAAAACGCACCATTCAAGAGATATTTAAAGTCATTACTTAAGTCTTAAAACCTATATATGTACATCAATCAAAAAATACACATATTATTTATCTCAGGTAAATTGTTACGTTCAAATATAAAAGAAAATTATATTTTTATTTATATATATGACAATAAAATGTTATGTATATATATACTAAAACTATATGGAAAGGTACATTTGAAAACATTTACTTACCATTGGGTAATACTATAGAAGCAGCCCGTAATCTAGAAGTTTTGGTCTCACGAACCGGAGCATTTTTACAAGTTGCAAAATTTTTTGAGCTCTCCTTTAGGTCTAACTTAGATACTATTTTACCATTGTTTTCTGCTGTAAGGCTACGGTGCTTCTTCTCTACTAATAGAAGTAAATTATACATTTTCTGTTCAAAACTCGAGGATATCAAGCACATGAAAATTGTCCATTTAAAACAAATAATATTTACCAAAGAGACTTATGAGTTTCATAATATTATCATATCAAACAATTGTTTTTTTTTTTTCAAAAATATTCAAATGCATAGGCAAACATATACAATATTATGACATGTTTATCTTTATATTTCGATTTAATAACATGACATATAGCTATCTAAATTCTCAGTACTTACTAATACCCAAAGAACAAGTAGCCACATCTTTAACTGATGATTCAACGTTCCTTTGACCACAACGTTGTAGCTCGCTATAACGTGAACAAGTACTTTGGTTTATCGAACGTGTTGTACTACTTCCTGTTTCATTTGATGAATTCTCCTCGCTAGCTGCCATCAAAACTGTAGCTCCAGCAGCTACCATTACTACAAGTTATATATTTAATTAATTAATTTGCATAAACTATATGGCAACTTTTTAACTGCCATATAGATTAAGATCTAACGTAACTCGTATAATCGTGCAAAGAAAAATACTGGAATTTTTTATCAGTTTTGAAATAGACAGAGTATATGTACAAGTTGAAAAATAGCAATGTTGAAAAAGAGCGTGTTTTTACTCCTATTACCAAATACAGTTTTTATTGTTTTATAAAATAAGTAGGCACCAATTAGGTATACTCACTTAATGCAAATTAATACGAATTGTCCTGCAACACGGCCATAATTTCTCGAAAACTTCGTTCGAAAACTTCCAAGAGAAACTGTCAAGACAATCGAGAACGTAGCAAATGATACGTATTCCTTATGGCTAAGTTATCACAGCTACTTAATAAGTACTATGTATAAAATGATACAAATCACGAGGTAATCAAACTGTACAGTAAACTCGCGCGAGAGAAAAGACGGCTACATCATTTACATCGAGAATGAAAATTGATAACGATTAAATAAAAGAAAACATCGACCACACAGAACTGATGTCATTCTAGTGAACTGATTGTGTCAGTGGGCGCGTTCAACGGAGAAAACTGTCGAGTCGTCGACTTGTAATATTCGCCTCTGATTCGCTGGGTCTAGAGGAAAATACGAATCTTGTATATATGTATACACGTTCGTGAGGTGTATACATGACTAGATACAGCCTTTCCTATCTTTTCCTATTGTGATCAGTGATGAGGTGTCATTGTACAATGTTCTGCGCCATATTGAGAATTAGACACTAGCACCTGCTAACACCTCTGAGACATAAACTATTTATTACACGATGAATCACTGATAAGTTATCGTCAGAGAGATATCTTTATAAACGGCTGTTGTAGCCGACACGAGTATACATTATTTATGCAGTGTTTATATAACAAAAAAAATCATCAATTTGTAATGTATTATCCAAATAATATTTATATATTAATAATCGCAAATTTATATCAATTGTCGATAATGTCATTGTTCTTCAATTATTACTATTGATTATATGTATATAGATACGAAAATTTTCCCAGGGCCGCCGTCTTTAGTAGTATCTCGTCGGTGACACTTTTTATCGTGATGAAAAGTTCAGTAATGATGTATAAATATGGAAAGAGAAAAAATATCCCGATTTAGAATGAGAAACATTCTAAGAACAAGAATATCAAGATATGGCATTGAGAATTAATAGAGAAGTTGAATTATTGCATAAATAGTATAAATCTCGACTATGCCTGTATATAATACAATCAATTTCATACGTCCACAAAACACAGAAAATAATTAATTAAAATAATTTATACAAGGTTACAGTAATCTTAATATTATTTTTTCAAAGCCTCGACATTTGAATATGTTTGAACACGTTGAAGAAATTACGTCGCAAATTATTAAAATATTAAAATATTATTACATACACATATGTGTGTTTATAATCTCGTTTCATTCATAGAACGTTAAAAAAAAGAGTATTCGTTATATGATAAAAAAATTAGAAATATAACTTTTAACTCTCTCTTTATTAATATTTTCAGGTAAATAAAACGATACAAAATAAATTATTTGCATAAAAATTTGCATTTTTTTTCATTTTTGAAGAGATAAAAATCTTTCAAAATATAATAAAAAAAATTTTTTTTTCTGAATAATCTAGACAAATCTAGGTAAAAATAAAGAATCTTAAAATTCGGATGACTGGACGCGCGATCGGCGCAGCCACTCACTGGTTGAGTGGTGACCTGGTGAGTGCCGTGAGTGGTGGCAGGTAGCTGATGGTAGCTCAGGTAGCTGACGCAACCGGCAGCGGCCAGCGCGGCAGTTTGACTTACAAGTATTCGTAGCCATAGCGACCGCGAGGTATTGCGAAGTATGGCCGATGGCCGCTCGATTAATAGTTTGTTGCGAATGACAGCTACGCAAGAAGGTAATCAAGTACGTGGAAAAAGGTCAGCCAAATCAAAAATCTATCTCCGCTTTTCCTTCTGTGAGCATAACTCTGTTATTATGTACGATAGAACGATGAGATAAATAAAAGAAGTGATTTATCAATTTTCTAATATTGCCTCGATGACGTATGACTTTGTCGTTAATCCGACTCTTCTTTGGTAAACTGATATTTTATTCGCATTGATAATCGGAGTAATTGAACATTGCGATTTAAGAATGTAAAAATTATTATATACCAGCTAATTACATTCATGCTCTTTTTTTCAATAAGAATGCTAGAAATCTTTGAAAAATGTAAAACGGTACAAAAGTAGTTAAATTATTTTATACATATGATTAAATATTCTTGATAAATCGATAAATTAAAGCAAATGTTTTTAAATCTTTGTGTGAAATACTTAGAATTAGGAATGTGAATCGTTTTTTGTTATCAGTTTATTGTATTAATGAACAAATGTAATTTTGTCGGGATTCTATTGTTATACATTATTGCAAAGCACATCATTGTAGTGAACATTTCACTATATATATATAAGAAGAGCATTTCACTATATATATATATATATATATATGTGATCTTAGCTTATTCCAAAAAAAAAGTTGTTCAACTTTTTCTATATATTGCACTTTTCTAATTTTTTTTATAATAATTAAATAAGTCTCAAACCAAAATTCTATTATGATCTGTCTAAAATCAATAAAGAATAGGTTTGGTTTGGTTTTAAGCAAGAAAAGCTTTATTCTTATAAAATTTGTCAGACAATTCGATATTGTAATCAATGAATCACGATTTATGGAGTATTTTGCAGCATTAAAATTCAGATTAATCGAAATCATGAATATTCTGTTCTCCAATGAGAACAGAAAATTTCAAGACATCCCTGATGAAAATTTTTCTCATAATTTTTATACGAATTGAAACATTTTTCAGAAATACTCTGAAATATTCGGAAAGTTTACATCTTCTCTCAGAATTTTTCATACAAGTGAATTCTGAAATATTCTGAAATTTCTCATCCCATAATTTTTAAAAAAAGTATTTTTAAATTTTTTAGATTTTACAACATTTCATCAGAAATTACACTTATAAAAAAATATTAAAAATCTTATGTTTATCTTATCTTATCTTATTTAATAATTAACATATATGAAAAATTCTGAGAAAAGATATAGATTTCCTGAAAAATTTCAATTCATATGAAAAATATGAGAAAGTTATAAAATTATAGAGAAATTCTGAAAAATTAAAAATATAAAAAGTTTTGATGAAAATTTTCATCAGGGATTCGGTGTTTTTGCGTCAGTTGATCAGGTCGAATAGTGCCATTTGAGAAAATCTATATTCTTGCATGTCTGGCCCACACAAAGATTGTTTGCATGCGACTGTAAGAAAATGCTAATCTCGACACGACATATACCATACGGCTGATGTCCTAGATTATGCCTATAAATCTTTCGCTCCTTATGCCATAGGTAGGATCGTAGATATTATCATAGGATATGTGCAAAAATAGTGTAAAATGTTTTGAGTTTTTCGTCGTACAATTTATCGTGCATATTTGATGCATATAGAAGCACTAATCTAACGTTTTCGCCGATCGTATTATTCAATCTTGAAATAAATAAAGGCAAGTTTCAATGATCCATAGATATCGCAACCGCACGATGTTTAATCATGATACCAAATCAGAAGTGACAGAAATACTATATAGAAATTCCGCTCTTTTTACCATTTCAATGGTTATCGAGTATTATGGCAGAATCTATTATCAAATATTCATTCTACTGTAGAGTTAATACTTGGGATAATTCATATTTATTTGTACCTTGCAACAAAAGTTTTCTGAAGGCACTCTTATTTTGTATTATAAATTATATTATGGACACTCGTATCATTTTTCACAGAATTTCAATCTAACAATAAGTCCTCCAGTAAAAAATTATATATAAGTATACGAGCGCAAGTTTTTTCACTTATTTTTTCACACAAATTTATATAATTTAAATTTATATAAAAATATTCTTATTTATAATATTTAATTATGACAAAAGACTAAGTTTGTTCATGAATAAACTTAGTCTTTTGTCATAATTAAATATTATAAATAAGAATATTATAAATAAGAATATTTTTAGGAAAAGTCCTAAAATTCTTTGTCACCTTTTGAATACTTTGGATTTATCCTGACATTTCGCAAGCGTGCGTGAAACGAAAAATATATTATTCTTCGTAAAATATGAATTTTCTCTACTATCCAATAATGTCAAATAAAAGTGCACAAATTGACAATTTCGATAATTATTAGTAATATCAGGTAATCCATCCTCAAGTTGAATTTAATGATACGAGATTTTATTTTCTCGAAGATTTAAACTTCTTTCGTTTTTTGTGTTATTTTAAAATTATCTCACAAAATTGTACATATTAAATCCATATTTTATTGAGAAAATTTTTTTAATAATTTATAAGCCTAGTATAAGCCTAACTTCTAATAGCATTCTAATAACATCAATGCATTACACGATTACAGCAAATACAAAGAAATGTGCAAGGGTGCCAATTTCAGTGACGCATAAATATGTTCTCTTTATAACGTTCACTATGTACAATAAGTGACGAGTAATAATATAAAAATTGTCAAGTATCTCAATAGTGAACATGAATCGATACATAACTTTGAATCAGTTGGGTGATGGAACCTTTGGTTCTGTTGTGCTGGGAGAACGTATTGACACGGGAGAAAAGGTAGCTATAAAGAGAATGAAGAGAAAATATTATTCTTGGGAAGAAGCTATGAATCTGCGAGAAGTAAAGGTATGTTCAAATTAGATAAATAATTTAAAAAATCTTGATTAATTTTCTGAAAATCATAACAAGACATGAACAATATAAAGATTTGAAAATGTAATATTGTGCTATATACATAATATAATTTAATTATGCCTATGAGATTATATAAAAATGGCTTGATTATTTTTTGCTTTTCTCGATTAACATCTACTTACATTAACAATTAATTTTCATCATTTTCTTTTCCATTTCATTGCAGTCATTGAAAAAACTTAGTCACGCAAACGTCGTGAAACTTAAAGAAGTTATACGGGAGAATGATGTGCTGTATTTCGTATTTGAGTACATGAAAGAAAATCTCTATCAACTAATGAAAGATAGGTACATCTTTATAATAATTTGTATTCTACAAATATTATTAGAAAAACTATATTTTAATTGAGATGTTTTCAATCATAGGGATAAACTTTTTCCCGAACCAGTAATAAGAAACATGGTGTATCAAGTATTGCAAGGTCTCGCTTTTATGCATAAACACGGTTTCTTTCATCGCGACATGAAGCCAGAAAATTTATTATGTATGGGTCCCGAGTTAGTAAAGATTGCTGATTTCGGGCTAGCGAGAGAGATTCGATCGAGACCTCCATATACGGATTACGTATCAACAAGATGGTAATATATCTAATTGTATAACTAGTCGCAATTCGTAAATATTACATAATCAGTTGATAATCAAGAAATTTGATGCAATAATAATCTGACATTTTCGACATGCAAATCTTTTTGATTAATCTCATTGAATTCTGTCAGGTATCGGGCACCGGAAGTGTTATTACATTCCACGACTTACAACAGTCCGATTGATATTTGGGCGGTCGGCTGTATAATGGCTGAATTGTATACATTTAGGCCACTGTTTCCTGGTAAAAGTGAGATTGACGAAATATTTAAAATTTGTTCTGTAATTGGAACACCTGATAAAGATGATTG